GGCTGGTGGTTCAAACCCACCAGCCACTCCTCGGAAGGAAGGTTGGGTAATCCTACTTCCGTAGTGATACTGCCTCGGAAACCCAAGAAGGGGTCGCTATGAGTCAGGGCCGACTCGACGGCACATAACAACAACAACAACAACAAAGTCAAATGACAGGAGAGTGGCTGAGCCACAGTTAGGAGTCCCAGCCTCCTGGCTCCAAATTCTACTTTCTCAATCATTCTACTACATTATGTGCTGGGCCCTTGAGTAAAGATCCATCCAGTTCCTGCCCTTGCGCATCTTTTATTTTGACAAGGGAGACCAATATTAAACAAACTATTTGTCACAATTTTCATAACTACTACAAGGGAGAAATACTACATATCATGGGAATTTTCCCTGATCAGAGAAGAAAACTTTGAGGAGATTATTACTTTTAAATAATCATCCCCATTGTATAGGTGAGGAAATGGAAGTTCAGAAAGTTTACGTAACTTCCTGATGCCACATAGCCATGAAGTGACAGAGCCAGGATTTGAATCTGGGTGGTCTCATGGTGGAGCAATGCCCTTAACCATACACTGTACCACAAAGCTTGGGTGAGGCATCATTTTAGTTGACAGTGGTGGGCTGAGGCCAGCCAGACACCACAGAAGGAAGGGAGAGAGGTAGGGCAGATCCTTACCTGTCCTCCCCTTAGTCCTAGAGACCAAGAATACCTGCACCTTCCCCTCCACTGCCTTCCCCTCCCAAGCCTCTCTCTGCTCACCTGCACCACTGGGGGAGGCAGAGGAAAGAGAAGAGGGTGAGTAAGAATTAAGCAGGCAGAGGGGGCTCTGAGATGGAGAGATGAATAAGATATGATGGAGTAAATGCAAAAAGGAGAGAGAGGGAGACGGGCCAGGGTATTTATTAAGAGGGAGGCAGGGACCAGACTAAGCAGAGTAGACACTTTACCAAGGACTCGGGCCTTGATCTAACATTGATGGGAAGCATAAGGGTATTCTGAGCAGAAACTGATGATACATAATTCACATCTGAAAACATTTTGTAGGAGAATAGCTCGGCATTGAGGTGAAGTAAAGTTTGGATGCAAGGTCAAATGGAAAAGTTTTGTGTATCAAAGGACTTGAACAAGTAAGTGAAGAGGCAACTTAGACAATAGGAAAAACTCTTGGGAAGCATATACTTGTAAGGGTTTAATATTCAGAACATATGAAGAAATACTACAGCTCAGTAACAAAAGACAAACAACCTGACCGAAAAATGGAAAAAGGTCTTGAACAGACGTTTCTCTAAAGAAGAACTACAAATGAAAAGATGCTCAATGTCCTTAGTCATTAGAGATACACAAATCAAAACCACAAATTACACCCAGTATAATGGCTTTGATTCAAAAAACAGCAAAAGAGTTTTGACAAGGATGTGGAGAAATTGGAATCCTTGTTCATTACTGGTGAGAATGTAAAATGGTACAACTGAGGAGAACAGTTTGGTGGTTCTTCAAAAAGTTAAACATAGAATTACCATATCATCAAGCAATTCCAGTCTTAGATATGTACCCAAAACACTTGAAAGCAGGAATGAAAACAGATATAAGGATACCAATAAGCATAGAAGCATTATCCACAGTAGTGACAAGGTGGGAACAATCTGAGTGTCCATCAACAAATAAATGGATAAACAAAATGTGGTATATCCATAAAATGGAATACTATTCAGCCATAAAGATAAATGAAGTTCTGACACATGCTACTACATGGATGAACCTTGAAAACATTATGCTGAGAAAAATAAGTCTGTCACAA